GGTTCAAACCCACCAGCTCCTCCACAAGAGAAAAGACCTGGCAATCTATTCCTGTAAAGTGCCTCCCAGGAAACCCTATAGGGCACTCCTACTCTGTCATATAGGCTCACTATAGTCGGAATTGACTCGACGGCACACAACGATTGGCAATTCGAACCCACCCAGAGGCCCGGGAAGACAGGCCTAACGATCTGCTTCCGAAAGGTCCCAGCCTTGAAAACCCCATGAAGCAGTTCTACTCTGCACACGTGGGGTTGCCATGAGTCGGAATCAACTTGACGGCAACTCACAACAGAGCGTGTGCACTGCAGAAGACGGGGACCACGTCTCTTTTGCTCCATTCCCCAGCCCGGGCACAGGGCTTGGCACACTGGGCACCTGGTACCACCCGCCGAATGTATGAATGCTGGGCTTGGGAGATAAAAAAGACTCAGCTCCACTGTTCAACGGGCTTGCAGTTGGTGGAGGGCTGGGGTCGGGTGGGGTGAGGCATAGTAACAAACATAAAAACAGTGGGATGGATTCAAACACATTTGAAGAGGGAGAATGGGCAGGATTCAGGCAGATGAGACGCAAGGGTTCGGCGCAAAGGGGAGCCCAAGGGTGCACCTCACATTTCTCGGCTTGGGTATGAGCTATGTGAGGGAGAGAGGCATGCTGGCTTCATTCACTGTTGCTGCCCTTGCTAAGCACGCGATCTGGCCCATGAATGAAGAACGAATAAATAAACCCAGAACTGAAGGGGAGTGTGATGGGGCAGAGGAAGGCAGGCAGAGCCAGGAAGGTGGGATTTCCTCCTGCCGTACCCCGAGGGCCCAGGACAGGGTCCGGCCACAGCAGGCACTCTGGAAATATCTGTGGAGTGAATGAATACAATTTCTAGTTTGTGAGGACTGTGAGGGCAGAAACCATGGCTGTCTTGGTCTCTGTTGGGCTCCTTCTTAAGGGGTGCTCAATTAATATTTGCTGACTCAATGATCTACATGTGGGCCCTGGGGTACCTTCCCTTCTATCTGGCTTCATTTATTAATTCGTTCATTTATTCATTCAACCAACCAAACAACTCTTGACGGTGTGTGATCGGCAGGCAGCCTGGAAGCTTTTACATAAGCCTCTCCCACATCCGGTCCTCCTCCCTCACCTTTGCCAGTGCCAAAGTCCAGGAAGTGGCTTTCAACTGGGGTCGATTTTGCCCCGAAGTGGACATTTAGCACGTCTGAGGACATCTTTGGTTGTCATAACTGGGGGAGGGAAAGATGCTAATGGCATCTAGTGGCTAGACGCCCGGGATGCTGCAAAACATCCTACAATGCACAAGACAGTCTCCACAACAAAGACTCATTAGGCCCAAAAGATTAGCAATGCCAGGTTGAGAAACTCTGAGTCTAGGCTAAGCTCCGTCTGCCTCTGCCTGGTGGACTGGCAGCATGGGCTGGACGGTGAGCACCATGAGGACAGACACTGCATCTGTCCTGACAGTGGCAGGTAATTCTTGAATAAATATTTATTGAGCTACTGTGACTCAATGGGGCCCTGGTGGCACAGTGGTTGAGAGCCATGGTGAGCTATGGCTGCTAACCAAAAGGTCGGCACTTCAAATCCACCAGCGGCTCCTTGGAAACCCTGTGGAGCAGTTCTATTCTGTCCTATAGGGTCCCTATGAGTTGGAATTGACTGGATGGCAACGAGTTTTGGGGTGACTCTCCAGCCAAGGAAAACCCTGGCGGCGTAGTGGTTAAGAGCTATGCTGCGAACCAAAAGGTTGGCAGTCCGGATCCACCAGGCGCTCCTTGGAAACTCTACGGGGCAGTTCTGTTCTCTCCTACAGGGTTGCTATGTGTCGGAATCGACTTGATGGCAACAGGTTTGGTTTTTGGTTTTGGTCTATAGCCAGGGAGGCAGGTAAGGCCTTCACTCCCTCTGAGCCTCCTTGTCCTCCCTTAATAGGGGTAAGACTCGCCCCACCCAGCCCTAAAGGTAGACTGCAGCCTCTTCTTGACCCACATTGTCTTTTGATGTCCCTCCCTCAGTTTCCCGGCCACCTAGGCTGAGCCTCACAGGCTCTGGGAAGGGAGCTCTGTGGGAGGAGACAGACCACTTACTGTTGATAGACTTGAGGTCCCGGTGGATGATGGGCACAGGGGCATCATTGTGTAGGTAGTTCATGCCCCGGGCGACCTGCACAGCCCAGTTGACAAGCACGTGAGGGGGCACCCGGCGTCCTGCCAGCACCCTGCTCAGTGCGCCCCCTCTGGCATACTCCATGACCAAGCAGAGGTGTGGGGGGCTGAGGCAGGCGCCCCGAAGGGCAATAATGTTTGGGTGCTGCAAGGCTCCGAAGAGCCGGGCCTCCTGGCGCACCTGCTCTGCTGTCACTGCCGTGTCCCGCTCAGGGTCCAGCCGAGCGGCCTTGACAGCCACCTCCTCGCCACGCCACAGGGCCCGGTACACCTTGCCAAAGCCCCCCACACCGATGATCTCCTCCAGTTGCAGCTCGTGGAAAGGGATCTCCTGGGGCAGCTGGAGGCTCGCGGGCGCGGCGGGGGCCCCGGGGGCCACGTAGTTGCTGGGGAAGACACCCACTCGGCCGCTGGGCAGCTGCCCGGTCCACCAGCCCTCGTCGCCGGACACCGCACAGTCCTGGGAAAGCACCTGGACGCGGTCGCCCCTCCGCAGGGTCAACTCCTCGTCGCCCGCCGCCTCGTAGTCGAACACTGCGGTCCAGACGGGCCCCGTGGGGGTCGTGCCCCACTCCTTGGCCGCCCCCTCCTCCTCCTCCTCCTCCATGGGGGAGGGGCCGGGGGCTGCGGGAGGCCCTTCACACAGGCTGCCCGCGGGATGCTGAGGGCGGGCCCCGCTGGCCAGGATGGGGGGCAGTCCCTGTGGGCTCTGGGAGGCTTCTGGGGGCCATGGCTGGGGAGCCCGCGGCAGGAGCCAGAAACAGCCTCTTTAAAAGGGCAAGACCGTCCCCTCTGATTCCTGCTGCCCAAGCGGGGCGGGGCGGGATTGGGGGTTCACCTCTCTCCCTCAAATGTCAGGGCGCTAAAAACGCCTGGCCGCGCGGCCCCCGAATTCCTGCTGGGGTCCGCCGGTGGGGGCGCGGGCGAGGGACGCAGGCAGCCCCCTTCCCCGCGCCTCTCACCCCGTGGAGCTCCACCGGCGGCCCCCGGCTCCGCAT